TCATAAAATTCCTTCATAACTGGCACACACACACACACACACATACACACACACACTCAAAGTGTGAGAGAGGTTGTAGTATGAAATATTGATACCTCTCGCAGCCACATGATTTTACATGTCCAGAAGCAGAAAGTCTGTTTTCAGAGAGGAAGGAACTGAAGTTATGCAAAATTATGGTCTTGTTAGAGCAAGTAATGAAAGTAAACCCTGTTCCAGGCAACTGCTTCTCACTGAGAATGGCTGCGATCTGTCAACAAAAGCTACATAATTTGGTGTGACTCGGATATATCCTGCTTTTCCTCTCTCATAGGGTTGGCCCAGTTTCGGCGCAGTGACCCTATCATAATTGAAGACATATTATTTGGATCATAACAATGTGCAGACACTTGGAATCGATCAGATGACCAGTTATCTGGGAGAATAAATGGTGACTGCAGAGAGGTGATGATAAGGAGTTAAACTGGAAGGTTCCAATGAACCAGGTACTTTTTCAGAAAGGTCTAACTTATATCACTTGAACTGCCAGAGGAATTTGAATTGTTCAAGAATCTCCTCCTGCAGTGCCATATTTGTACACAGACAGAGAGTAGAGGAGAAAGCACTTAAGTACATGGTGCCTGTGCATAGTCCTCAAGTTTTTGCCCCTCAAGTTTGGTGAGTTTTTATGTGACTGCTTTTATAAATGGATTTTTGTGACCTCTTTTTAGAGGATTATTACACTGCTTTAAAGGCAGAACTGCAAAGAAAGGGCCAAATTCAAAACACAAGACTGGAAACACTTTTACATTCTTAGTTCACAAGATAAATTTACAAGATAAATTCTAGCTACATAAAAGTGCTTGAGCTTTCTTTGCATCTGATAACTTTGATTGAATTTTACCCAGTGGTGAAATGTAGTGAACTACACTTAAATAGGAAGTGAAGTTTAGTACATTTTGATTACAATTTCCATTCTACTTTACTGTATAATTTTATTCCACTTCATTTTAGAGACAAATATTTCACTTTTCACTCCTCTACATTAATTTGACAGTGATAGTTACTTGTTATTAAGGGACCCTGTGGAGTTTGTGACCACTAGTAACTTTATGGAGGATGTTTTCAAGAGTAGGACCCTATTCTGTTCATTATCACATACGTGGCAAATACATATTTCTGCCAAAAGATTCAGGTTGAGGTAATGCACAGCAGAAATGCACAAGTGAAGGACTAAAACATGAATATAAAACAATGCAGGATTCAAAAGCTTCAGAAAATCAGCTCTGCATATGTTTTATGAGGAAGAAAACACCTTCAACACATATGCTAGACCTCAAGGACACACACACAATCTACATTCAAAACTTCATAAAATATGATGCTTTTTGTCAGATTTAACTTCCCTGTAGTTTATAAAAAGTAAAGAAAGTTGTTCCCTTTCAATGAATTACAACATTGAAACGCTGTTCACATGTTGCAGCAATAATCAGTCATCACATGACACAATATGCATTCAATATATAGATTAACACTGACTGTGGTGATTCAGCTGCCTAATGTGCACTTTTACTTTTGACACAGTAGTGGAGAACTTTAAAATTGCGGTATTGCCACATTTACTTAAGTAAATGATCTGAATGCTGCCCAGCTGGTGTCTGCTTGGGAGTGTGTCCTTTAATATGTAGGGGTGGACAAAATAATGAGAACAGCTGCTAAAGGTGGCACCCACACTGTTACCCATTCAGTGTTTTTACAGGTTATGACATCAACCCCTCAGCAGCTAATGAGACGTTTTAAACAAAAGCAGAGCTGTAGAGAGCACTGAATGAAAACATAATAAGTCCTTCATTGATAAGATTTTTTGATCTTTTTCAAATCGGATCTGAAGCTTATCATGGTCCTTAAGCAGTGACATGATGCTAGATAAGCAATTTAACATCTGCTGTCAAGTACTTGAGTGTGGATATGATGAACCACCAGAGTTTCCTAATTTCCCTCTAAAGTTAACCACTTGGACTGTGTTATCTTTAATCCAATAGCAGCAATAATTTTGGCTAGACGGGGACAGAGTAGACATGTTCTCCAAATGCGTCACATCCATTTGTGACTAATGATAACATCACCGCTGGACTTTTGATTATTAGATTAGATTTGGCCAAAGTGTGGTGTGATGTTATTCCCACACAATGTGTGTTTGTGGGTACATAGATCGATGTGTGTACTGGCATGTGTTTCCACTGTGTTAATAACATTTTGTAAGTTTCCAACGCGTTTGCCAGTTTCTCTGACTAGCACACAAAGTTCTCTTTCTTTATGGGAGTTTTTTTTTTTTTTTTTTTTTTTTTACATCAATTGTTTAATGCAAATTCAAAAGGTGTATGCTGCCCTGTAGTACAGGATAAACTTAATAAGACTTATTTTATGATTATGATTAATGATAATGAAATGGGTTGATTTAACTCCAGACTTTGTATTGGTTGTAAACACGTATTTTTGGTTGAGGAAGTCATGCTGCTTATTTAAAGATTTACTACAGCAACACAAATGTAAATATTTCCATTCAGTCAGGGTGACTATTCAGTGTGATTCATCAGCATTACTGGCAGAACAGTAACTTTATTATAACAGATCTTATCTAGTCTGCCCTGCTCACCATTTGAAAGCCCTGGGTATTTTTACTCTTTCTTCTCTGTCCAACTCGTGTCCAGAGGGCTTGTGGTGTTGCCGCTTGTTTGCAAAGAGATAGAGGGGGACCAGCCAGATGGGTAACACACACAGTCACAAACACACACACACACACACACACACACACACACACACACAGATGGTCTTGGAGATAGAGGGAGATGACTTTTGGATCAACCTTCATACACTCTGTCTCTCACCAGCCACACACATGCGTGCACACACACACACACACACACACACACACACACACACACACACACACACACACACACACACACACAACACACACACACACACACAGGGCACTCAGAACAGATGCAAAGCTTTTTTAAAAGAAGCACATTCTGATTTTGACCTTGTTAAACTCTAATATCAGAAAGTTTCAGGAACCTTTTTGTTCAGGGGCTTCAATGAACATAAATCAGCTGTGGCCTTGATGTGACACAGTTCATCAAGGTCACAGAGAAAAAAAAAACACTTCATCATTGGATAAAAACCTCAGATTTTCTGACATTTGTGTTACAAATGACAGAAACTCTGTCATTTATATTACTGTCAGTATGACGCAGTTCTGGACATATGATCATGAGATGCACATGATTAATGTCTCTGCTCTCGCTGTAACGTTACCACTTATAGCATGTTCCTTCTGAAATTAAGCTCAGCTGTGACCGACTGCAGCATGAACTGTGAGGCAGGTCAGTTTCTTTGTATATTGCACCATCTTGTGGGACTTGTTGAACGCTAAGCACTGATGCTACAGCATCATACAGTATATGATGAAGTTGAAGTTACTAATGGTTATGAAGTTGCAACTGAAAGTCATACGATACGTTATGGAAAATAACATAAAGCCAAGTGACTACACATTAAACAAATGTAAAATTGTTTATATGAACTGAATTATCAAACTTTTAACAGACTTGCCAGACAGTTTAGCTGCAATCGGTTGTAATTTCATTTTTTATTTTTTAGGGTTTTATTGTTCAAAACCTGCTAAATTTCACAATAAAATATATGTTTTTTTTGGCCAATAATTAGTCTTTTGGCTCTCAAACTACTTACACATATAATCTGTCATTTAAGGGATGTTGTTTATCAGGCATAAAAAAAATCCATATAAAACTATCAGGAAACCCAAGAAGCTCATGGAGATTAGATTTCCCATTGCCTGACAGCTGTCACTGTATACATTACACATCACAGTATGTAGACCCATTCACTGCAGTCAAAACTGCAACATTAGCGTCTCTGCAACAACTTTCACTATGGAAACAAAACTGTATAAAAAAGGTTTTTGAAGGGACAAGGACAAATGTTAAAACTATCATGGCACCACATTCTGATTAGTCACCCATTGTAAAGTTGTAACTAAAGGCTTAATCAATGTTAACTGATCATTGACTAATGCTTTATGAATCAGTTATAAGCTGTTAGTTGCCGGACTGTGAAACATTCCTCTGGAAGCTTTTTATCCTCCATCAGGGAACTTAATTCATAAGGAAGACCCTCTAATGAACAGCTTACCATCTGGAAAAACATGGAGAGAGTCCTGGTATTAACAGCTAAGTGTAAGTGAAGATTTAATGGCTCATTTGAAACTGTGAAACCAAGTTGCAACTTGCATTATCGCCAAATACAAAAAATAAACACCAACTGGAGGGACTTTCACTTCGTGGCAACCCCGAGAGGTTGTTCTTATTAATGGTTTAACTGAGCCATAACACATTTGTAGGATTTATTAACCATTAACAGAAAGAGAAGGACACCCAGCTTGATGAATGAAAGACTGATTCCAGTAATATTAGACTGTATATAGCCTATTTAATGTTAATGTTTAAGGTTTAATGTTAACTACTTTTAAATCAATAAAGAATTGTATTCTGTATGCCCCCCACAGAGTGACACTCCTGTCAGTATGGAGAGGGGTGGGAAAAGCCATTTTGAAAATTTATAAAAATAAATAAATAAATAAAATAAAAATATTTTCATTTATGTATTTAATACATGGCATTACTCTGCAGTTTGGGGAGTGAGCTCTTTGAAATTATGACATTAATGATTTACTGCTGCTTATTGAATATCACGTGTGGCCACATCTGGATTGCACAGTCCTCCCTGCGGCTCTCCTCCATCAGTTTGACAGACAGACACCAGAGGCACGGCTCGACCAATCAAAAAGCAGGAGGGGTGAGCGTATATAACATGCAGCCATGCTGCAGTACGCGCTTTAACCGCAGAGCGGCAGCACATGTAAACACATGGACACTTACACAATCTCTTACCAAACACTGAAGGCGAGTTCCGTAGTATGTAACAGCCCCCTTACATGAATGCTGCTGTCTCTCTGAAGGTAAGTCGTCCCACGGACAGGCTTCTTTTAGTGTTCACATAGATTTAATTAAAGTTTAATTCATGGCTAAGGCTAAAATGTTAAAAGTGTGATTTCGTTGTTTTCATTTTAAAGATGACGGCAGCCGGTTTTCTTGTGTATCTGTATCTTTGTAATGTCGTAAAGTTTCTGTTTTTTTCTTCAGCTTTTATGTCAGCTTCACAAAGTTAATCACACGATGTGTAAAAAGTCAGACAACACACTGACAGTGACTTCTTGTCTTCACTTTGTTATGCGACAGGAAGGAGCAGTTACATCACTGAGACAACAATGAAGTCCATTGCCTGTATCTCTTCGTCTGTCATAGCGGCGTGTCAGCACACCTCCACATGTTTCCCTGTGCATCGTGCTCTGATCCGTTGTAGTTCAGTGGGGAGATGCACTAATGTGGATTTTGTCAGCAGAACTGTAGTTGCACAACAGCCGTGCGGAACGGGTGTGCGTCCTTTCCACAGTATGTACGTAAACGGGGCAGTGGTCCAGCAGGTGAGTGCAATCCCCCTCCCCACCCCGCTGCTTCTACCTGAGAAAAGAGACGATGAGCTGACTGTGCGTCGGGCTGTCAGACGCGTGCCACCTAAAACAGCATCAGGATCAGCTCCACACCTCTCTCCATACAGCCCATACACCACATCACAGGGCGATGCGACTGCTCCAGTCAATATCCAGTCTCTGTTTGAAGGGGATGTGATTCCTGAGCTGTGCTCCAGGCTGGCAGGCTTCCCCAGCAATGACCGGGCAGAGGGACTGGCCACTTTACTTGGAGCATGTGTTGAATTTGGCTTGGAAGCCCACAGCCCTCTAGTGCTCAGACTGATGAAAGAGTGCCTGGAGCTCCTCTCCAAAAAGGACATCAGCGTGGCACAGCTCTGCCACCTGGGTGAGGTGGCACATGCCCTGGAAGGCCGCCAGTCAGCGATGGTGACAGAGGTCCTGGACTCCATAGGTGCTGCTGTAGAAGAGGATGTTGTCTCACCCGGCGAGGCTGTCAGAGTCTACTCCCTGCTGACTCTGTGTTACAATCCTGCCAGCCAGCAGCAGGTACTCATGCTGTCCACTTTGCACAGACACACGCAGAGGCTGGTCCACCGCCTGAAAGCCGGCCAAGTCAGCTCTATTCTGGAGTCCCTGCTGAAGCTACAGCAGAGACAGGTAGGAAGAGCAACATTTCAGATTCTCCTTGGTTTTTAATGTGAAATCAGCTTCTGCTTGCACATTTTTTTAACATCGAACTGTCTCTCTAATAACTTCAGACTCCGTTATTTAACGCCACAATAACAGTTAATTCACTCTCTTGGAGTGCCACCCAGTAATTGGTGTATTTACGATCTGCTTTACACATTTAAGAACCAAATATATTAGATCTATCCCTCTATGTGCAGTTATATCAGAGGACATTACACTGATACTAATATTATGTTTCACAGGCCATCTCCCTGGTGCTGAGGCTGAGTCACAGAGCATCACGGGTCTTTAAATCTTTCAGTGACGATGAAATAACGAAGGTGCTCTCTGCTCTGATGATCCTGGGGCAGCATCATGAAGAGCTGCTGGCTGCTATGGAGAAGCACCTGCCAGGTGTGATTCAGTCACAAATATGTGTGTGCTATTCTGTGGCAAATAATATATATATATATAAGAATGGGCAAAATGAATGATGCAAGTTCTGTGCTGTGTGTGTCAGGGAGGCTGGGAGAGTGTGATCCAGAGCTGATCAGTACTGTTATGGAGTACTGTCTGCTGATGAGGTGCCGCTCCGAGCCCATCTTTGAGGCCGTGGCTGAGAACTTTGTGTGCCATGCTGAGAGGCACACTACCCTTCAGATAGCCAAACAGATCGTTGCCATGGGGAGACTCAACTACCTGCCACAGGTACTGTACACACTCTGCATCAAAAGACAACGAAATGGAAAGAGTCTGTAACTAACTTGCAACCATGCAGCCGTTTCTTGAACAATAATTGGCTCTCATGAATATTCCATGTATAATTTAGTATATAGCAATATTGAAAGTTTATGTGATTATCGTAATGGACTGTATCCATTTGAAAGTTAATAGATAGTCATTAAATTTTAGAAAGATTTAAATGCTGTTTTTACTCAGAAATCAATATGAATGTTATCATTGATTTAACATCAAGATCGTTCAGTGAAATGTTAATTAATTTACTATTTTTATTACAACCTATAACACCACAGTTTGAAACTACCATCAAAAACAGCATGAAATTTAAAAAAAAAAAAAAAAAAAAAAGCAGTATCTTCTAATTAGTCTCCTCTTTACTCCTCAGTGCTCAGGTCAGATGTTTAAGAAGCTCGAGAGCATCTTAACAACAAGGTTTTCCCAGTTCCAGCCTCGCTCCCTGATAGAGGTGCTGCACGCCTGCATCCACCTGGAACGCTTTCCACTCAACTACATGTCCAAAGTCTTCAGTCCGTTTTTCCTGCAGACGCTGCAGGGTATGTATATGTATAAGGCTCGTACAGGGAGAGACGTGCATTCATCAGGTGTTCCCATGCTCCCTCACTGACTGAGGATTCAGAAAGGAAGTTGAGCTGTGTCAGTTAGTGTCCTTTTCTGCTTGTTGCATAAACAAACAGGTTCAGAAGTAACTCTCAGACATTTTTCCCATGCTCCGTTGCACACATACAAGATTTCATAATATTTGTAGGATGTTTAGTACAGTACAATTTATTTATTAGTGGATGGTTGTTTTGCTGTTTTGTCAAAGAAAGAAGCTACCAAAGCTACTGATTTACAACAGGTGGATGTCTGGCTTGTCAGTGTATGTAGTGTGTATGTAATAGGTTATGTAATATCTGTGTATGCTGTCCTTGTCTGTCCCACAGCACAGGGGGAGCCCTTGGACAAGAATGCACTGGGACAACTGACACAGCTCCATCTCTCCACCTCATTAGAATGTAAACATTACTGGGTGAGTGTCACACAACTTGATAAGAGTTTCCTTAGTGCTTAAGACTACATTCACACATAAATTAATCCTAAGCAATGACTTTTCATTTTGCCAATAGAAAAGTAATTGAGTCAGATAAGTGATAATATTGATGGATTCTGCTCAATGCCTCCTTCACCAGGGGCCCAGACTGCCGTACTTCCTCCATGTGAAGAAGTTCTCCTCTGTGGACCAGGCCTTTGAGACACCTATGGACAGTCTCCTGTACAAACGTGTTACAGGGCCACTCACACAGCTGCTGGGGGGAAAGTTTTACTCTACCAGAATCTTCACTCCCAGTGGATACTCTATAGGTAAGCTGTAAGGATGTATGTCAAGCACATTACATGTTTAGCCTGCTGAGATACAGTGCATATTTTTTTTTACTTTTTTGGCATATCCCTTCAAAATTAAAAACGAATCAACCAAGTGGCTGACGGATCTTGTGGCTATGTGTTTTATTGCATCTCATCGTACTCACAGATAGTGTTGTTTTGTTTCACTCTCCTGCCCAGATGTGGAGATATCGCTGGATGAGGAGGGATATGTTCTGCCTCTTTCTCAGTGGGAACAGACATACAGGAGGTAAAAGGCTGGCCGGTGCGGTCACAGTAGATTCTCGTCGAAAACAATAGGTGATATTTTGAACCAATTGAGTGATTGGCTGATTATTGGAATTGTTCCCAATGTCTTGTCCTTGTCCAGGATGGCGCTGTGTTTAGATGGTCAAACACGTTTCTGCAGCAACACGCAACACCTGCTGGGGAAGGAAGCCACAAAGAGGAGACACCTCCGCAGGATGGGCTACGAGGTGGTGCAGGTATGTCTGTCAAAGGTCGTCAACCTCTTCATGGTAATACCAGATCATTGCGGTGAGGCTTTACAGCTTTTTTAGCCACTAATTTGCAGCTTTTTCTTGGTAGTACCTTCAGTTATATTAGTGTTACAATTTTTTTTAAATCGCTCTACTGTAAGAATATTTTCACATTTTTTACTTTTTTACCTTCAAAGCATTATGTACAAGGAATAGCTGGTCAAAAATACAATGCTCCTTCTCCCTTATCTCTACAAAAAAGAGAAGCAAATACATTGTTTTTCTCTACATCTACTTCTTCTTATTTCCTCTGGCAGATCCCTTTCTTTGAATTTGACAAGCTGAGAACTCAGAAGGAACAGGTCGAATATCTTCACAGCAAGATCTTTCCCACCATCTTCAAGTTCAACCACTGATCTCAGTCACCTCGTGAGTTCAAACAGAGGTTCCTCAGTTTTATGTTACTGCACAAATCAACCATCCTTGCAATGAATAGGATGGAAAAACTATGAAGAAGAGCAAAGAGAGGTGTCCAGAGAAAAAATGCTAATATAAGTGCCCAATAATCACGGCATAATTTAACTGAACTGAAAATAGTAATCTTTTATTTTAATTTTGCTTGTCCCCATGTGCCCTTAGTTTTTTTTTGTTGTCATTTTATGAAACAACCTGCCTTGTTTTCAGCATCAAAGTAAAAATATTTCAATGAATAGTTTTAGAGGGATATTTTTAAGAACAAGGCATCTGATATCAAAGTCATCTATTAAGTGAAAGGAGAGGTTGGATATGCATAATGCTCCTTTTAAGATAAAAAAAAAAAAGAAAGATGAGGTTGACTAAAATCACATCCCAGCTTGTACATAGGGGGAGCATTAGCAACTGGAATACTACCTCTCTAGCAATGTGAGTTACTACACATCTTATATTTGCACCATATGACCTTAATGTTGCTGTAGCTTTACTACTTATTAGAGTGAGCAAAACTTTTGGAAAATAATTCTGGCCTATTCCTATTGTCGTGTTAATTTATTGTGTTGTTAAATGGACATGATAGTGACTATTTATGCAGTTAATTTGAATACAGTGAAATATATGAAAATATTGTGACTGTGTCACTGCTTCAACTTCTGTTCTCAGCCTTGTACTGTTTCTTTGGGGTAGAAAAAATAATATGACCCAATTTACTGGACAAGTTGAAATTCAACATGACATGTACATGATATATAGAAATGTGTGACATGAAATATGCCTTTTTTTGATGTTTGAAGATAAATCATAAATTGCCTGACATCATTTTTTAGACTGGTGGTGCTGTAATTCATTTCAAAGAGATATACTGTGAAAAAATATTGAATAGATTTACATTAAATAGGCAATTAGTAAAAGCTACAATACCCCAGTTGTTGTATCGTTACCCATGTGGTATTAACTGCTATTCATCAGAGACAAAGCAACACTGAAAATGTGGAATCATGGCCTAAGGTTCAAAACTAATACAGGAATACATGGTCTGTAAGCAGCTGTTTGCAGTACTGCTGGAGAATGAAGTCGCATTTAAATGTAGTGGTTTTTGTATCCTCAGCCATACAAAATTCTTTATCTTGTCAGTCTTGCAGAAAGTCAGACACATACAAAAAAGAAACAAAATCTAGGGGTGCCCACTGTGGGTACATTTCAAATCCCTGACAGATTGTGAATTTCCCATGCTTATTAACTTGCCGTTCAAACCAATTAGATTTGGAAGAGAAGAAGCATGCTAAGTTACATGCTAATACAAAAGTGTCAGAGTTACAAGTTAGATTCACTTTTATTAATGTTCAAACCTTTGGTAATGACTTAATACAACTGCAACATCATTTCTGAAATATTTATGGAGGAGTCTGTGAGAAGTCAGCAGTCTTGTCAGCACAAGAAAGCAAGATGAAGCACAGCAACTGCTGAGACATTGGGCTAGGAAGAAGAGACACATGAATAAAGCTGTATAATGGATAGAAAATGATGGATGGCACTCGGAGGGATACAGAAGAGCTACAAATCACGTGTCAGAGCAACCTGAACATGGAAAGGAAGACTGCAGAAAACGATGGAGTGAGATGAGCCTTTGGGATGATGGGTAGATGGCGAGGATTCAAATTAAGTCCACACTATCCTTTCTGTTTTTCTCCTCAGCCATGGCTCTGGACATCCTCCTGGTTCTAATGAAACACACAATATGTTAACCGTTTTTTATCATATCTCATTTCTGATTCATGCAACAAACGGTAACATGCAGCAAAGGAAGTAACACTGCCTAAGCTACTGTAAGTGCGTGTGTGTGTGTGTGTGTGTGTGTGTGTGTGTGTGTGTGTGTGTACATGTGGATGTGTGTACAATGTGTCTGTTTTCACCTGGTAGAAACAGGTGGCAGGATAACAGTGCGTGGGTGCGCTGTAAGGAGAAGCTCTCCTCTGACAGCTTCCATCATCAGGTTCTGGAGGGTGTTCAGCAAAACAACTTCACTCATGCCATCAGGCACATGTTTAGTGTGCAGCGTGTTCTGTCTTTGGGGTGTGTTTCCCGAACACCCTGCAGTCCCCTCCCTGTCCACTGTGTTGTGCTCTTGATTTGATCCAGCCTTAGTCCCACTCAACAGAACTTGAGGTTGAGGTTTAGGGGGAGAGGAAGTTGGGGGATAGACAGTGGGGCAGTGAAAGGGCTGGTAGGTGATGGGCTTGGAGGCCAAAGTAATTAGAGACTGGACAAAGGCTGAATCATCAAGCATGTTCCTGCAAAAGGAGAACAAGAAAAATACATAAATACACACTCAGATCATTTCTCACCACAATGCACTTAAGCTTACTCTAAATCCAGGCCTTACCAAACTGATTCAAAAATGACATCTTATATCAAACAACCAAGCTTATTTAAGTGAATATGTCAGGGTGGATGTCTGCATGGGAGTCTTGACTGTATGTATGCGGGTGTGTAAGTGTTACCTTAGCAGAGAGTTGAGTATGTGTGTGTGGAAGTCTTTCTCAGGGCCATGTGTTGGTGGAGGCAGACTAATGGAGAGGGTTGTGCTTGAAGTAGAGGTTTCAGACTTCCGGGACTTGACTGACTGGAGGCGCCTGAGGAAGACAGCAGAGATGATCATTATTGCTTCAGCATATAAAATTGAGGTCAGGGTCTTTTGGAATGTGAACTAATTTCCTGAACTTGAAATATCAAAAGTTTTTTTATGTGTGTGTAAACAGATTTATAAAGAAAATTCTTATATATAAGTTGTGTATCTATAAAGTCAGGACTTTCCTCACTGATGTTAAATGTATACTGGACAGGACTTTACCTATAAAACTTATTGAACTGGTCAGGAAAATGTGTTAGGTACTCCTGAAGGCTGTGGGAGTGTGCTGTAACCTCCAGATGCAACAGAGAAGGTCGGGGTGGTTCAGGCTGCTTCTGTACTTTCGTCGTTTCCCGACATGCCCGCCGCTCAGCTCTTGTTAGCTTAGTACATATAGAGCCCACTGTTTCACAGCTACTACTGGCACAGATAGGAGGAAGAGTCTGGAGGTGAGAGGAAATTAGACATAGAGGTGCAGTCAAAATCAAGCTGAGCTTTATAAACTCTCAAAGGTTCACATTTATTTCTGCATGTCTACAAATTAATTAAATTACTATTATATTCATACACAGGACAGGGCTTATAATTACAGCAAATTAAAGCCACCTTATATTTCCTGAGTGGTGGCCCTTTTCTTACTGGAACTGCCACAGGTTCCTGTAACGAGACAAAGGGTGAATATCGTGAAGAAGAATGTTACACCATCTTTCAAAAATACAACAATTTGAGGAAGGACCTTATCCACCAGATTTCCTTGGATTTCTGAAAGCTTCTTGTCTGTGATAGTGAATTCATCTCGCTGTCTCTCTCTCTCCTCCTCCAAGCGCTGCAAAGATTCATGATACCGAGTCAGTGCGGCTTCCTGAATAACCTGAAGAGGAGGCGAGAGTAAAGAATGAGAGACAGTGGCTACCATAGAGAACTAAACTTTCTCAAACAGTGTTAAAATGTCAGTGACTGGTGGGCTTCAATTCATCAGGCTAAAAAAAAATCCCAAAAACCAAACACTCATCTACACTGGTACTGCTGTGGTACCTGACAGATGAGATCCAGCAGATAAACGGTGGGGTAGTCAGTAGAAGTGAAGGTAAGGACAATAAGAGCACTCTCCCCTGGACACAGACTGCCTTGCTCTGGACGAATCTGCACCACCTGACACAACAACACACTCAAACCTCATCAGCATGTTATGTTAAGCTTTGCATCAAATTTGAGATAGACACGTCACCTGGCACACAAATAAAAGCTAATTTTTATGTCAGTCTTTTCAAGCTATTCAAAGAATAAAAATATGAAGCCACTGATTTATACATGTCAAATGTCGACGACTTTCAAATAGAGCAACACAAAGAGGGAGGAACTGCTTGTTTCTTCCTCAAAATGGTCATAAACACAAAACATTATGCACAGGCTTTATGTATATCTTCCTGTACCTGCTGGTTGCTCTGCTGGGGCAGGTCCCATGTGTAGTGGACAATGTCTGTGTGAGACACATTGGTGAGGAAGAAGATTCTTGAAGATTGTGAGGACACAGGGATGTCACCTAGAGAGACACTGTCCTCAGACAGAAATACAACCTACACACAAACACACACATGGAGATGAATGCAAACAGCCTCAAATGATGACAGGCACAAAGGAAAGATGACTTATAAGGAACAGACTGGTGGTATTCAGCAGAATCGGATTGAACTCAGATTTAAATCAAAATATGATTTGAATGTCCTTGAATGTCTCACCTGTCCTGGGAATGGCACCCTCTGGACACAGGGTACAGGTGGCTTATTATCACTGTAGTTAAATGGGTTTGAGGAGCCCAGTGATGGAGTATCAAACCCACACCCCTCAAACCTGACCAGTGTCGAGTCCCCATCCTGGATGTGGATAGGAATATCCATCTGGTGATACACAAAATTGCAAACAATCAAAATTGCAAACAGAAATTGAACATTTAGTGACAGTGTGTGCTTAAAAGCTAATGCTATAAAAGCTATCGTATGTGGCATCATCTTGAATAAATAAATGAATGGAAGTTGTTTATCTGTGTATAGTAAGTATTCCAGCTCATCTTTAATAAGTAACATGAGTTCAACTGGATTTTCTAAATTGCTATGAGTTAATGACCACGATGCTACAGAAGAAAACACTTCGTGAAACATATTGCCTATAGTAAAACCTGGACAAACCAGTTAGTACAGTATTTAGGTTCTGAGTGGACAATGGTAAGAAGACAGCTCAACAGTCCATACATGGTACATCTTAGCCTCCAGTGGAGAAAAGATCCATTCCAGCATGGCTGTCTTCCCAGGAGGGACCTCTCCTTCTGGACTGAGGCAGCACAGCACTGGATGGTTAAAGTTGTCTATCTGAAGCTGCGACAACACAGCTCTGTCCACTTCATAATGGACTGGCACTGCACCAGCATTGTGTAATTCATACACCTGCAAGACAAACAAAGATATACAAATGCAGAGTTACCTGTGTTTTCTCCAGACTTTTACAGAAGGTTAAGTTGTAATGTTAACAGTTCAAAGTCTTTTTAACTGAATATGAGTTAATAGATGAAGTATTATATTAATGGGAATGCAATATATATTTCAACTCACAGTAAGCTGGCCACTCAAATAGACTTATTATATTAGAAAAATTAAACACACACCTGCCTTGGAGGACTGCAGTCCCCAATAGTTACAGAGGTGAAGACATGTCGATTGGAGGCAAAGTGGAGATATGGTCTGTCTCTCTCCACTGTCACCCCCTGGAAGTTAAGCTGTGCACAAAAACACATCACATGGAAATTAAGTTAATGGAAAATCTAACAGCTATGGAGAATTCACCGTCGATACACTAAGTTGCTACTTTCCTTCAGTTCTACAGCAGGTAAAAGAGACAATACTGGATAGCACTGCTAATTACGCAGCAGAAGTGAAAGAACTGTTCATTTTAGCAAATAAATTAATTTTGATTATATCATCACTGGAGTTGTGCCTCACCAAGATCTCTCTGCCATATGAGAGTTTGAACACAACAGGAAACCGATCTGTCCTAGCAAAGTCATGGCTGTGAAGGAAGAAGTTTGGATTATTTTGGGATCACATAATTAATGATCTGATGTCTATAAAAGCTGCTTTATGCTAAAAAAGACGTATTTTGATCTTTGTCAGATGTATCACCGGCAGAGTCATAATAATTCTCTGACTTGAACACCAGCCTGAGCTGTATCTTGTGCATTTATCACTGACCTGTAGCTGAAATGTACCGCCCTCTGCTGGCCTGGGTACAAAGTTCCGGCACGAGGAGAAATGCTGAACAGACGGTTGTCTTGAACCTGTCAATGAATTGAAGATATCTGTGCTTTGTGACTGTACCTTTTTTAATGTCAAAAAGTCTTATTCTGAAATCTCAGTGACTTTCAATCATATAGTGAAATTTAATATTCATAAACTTCCTTCATGTTTTTAGATAAGGATAGGACATGCCTGACCTTCATCTGGTACAGCTCGGTGCTGCTGAACTCTCCTGTCTCTGCCCAGTACTCCATCTCTATCTGTTGGTCCTCTGGAAACAAGAATGCCCTAATATTGAAGAGCAATCCAAAAATTAGTAGATCACACAGTCAGTGGACCACTACTTTCCCACTATTTCAAACAGAGCAAAAATTGTAAAATGATGCCCTGACTATGGCAGTCTAGTCTGTTATACTGCACAGCAATTCACAAAAATGTGAATCTTTCATCTTTCATTTTGGATGACTGTATTCTCCACAGTCTGTTATTTGCTCACCAATTAACAGGGATGGGACCAGGGTTATGAAACATCAGCACAAAAGTTGAGGGGTCTGAATTCATGGGAGCAGCACTAAAGCTGAAATCCAACATGGTTTTGGTGAAGATGGAAGGACAACTGCGCAGACTAGGAATAAGAAGACAAAGTCATGCACACACCATGGCCTGACAATATACTCTAAATACAAAATGTCTATTCTACTTGAAGAAACAAAAATCAGCAGAAAATAAGTGTACTGTGACATTTATTATTCACTTTTTATAGTAATTGTTCAGTAATAATTGTGATGATTTTCAAAATGTAATCAAGACTTTCACAACAAAATAAACAATCAGTTCAATGTTTAATTGTTTCTATACCTGTGTCTAGTGGGGGTTCCATAAGTAAGTTCCGCAGAGGACGGGATAGACAGCAGGTGCTTGTTGAGGCTATCCAATGACAAGAGTTTCCATAGATACACCTTGCTGAGTCCGGCCACACTGCCACCACCACACACATCAGTCACCTGTAGGGTGGGGAACACACCCTTAGCTCGCACCTCACACACTGGCTGAGGGGGAGACGACACAAACCCTTGAGAGAGAGATGGATACAGAAAGGGAGAGAGCAGTATGTATTAAGAAATAATAGAAAACAAAAGCAGAATATATTCAGGTTTGTAGAATTTGTGTGTGTTTTTTATATCTACCACTAGTATTCAGTGTCTGATAGCTGATTTTCCATAAGTACTGGGTTCTTCTGTATGGTCTAACAGTACATCGGAGCAGCATTGTGGAGTGTGAGGTGATGGTGCCCCTCTCACAGTCCAGCTGTAGAGCTAAAGGGGCCAAACAGGACATAATGCATTTAGTGTATAACACTGGTTCAACTATATCTGTCTTAATAGTGTTCAGCAGTCTTTTTCTTACACCTACAGGCCAGATACTGTCCTCATTTACCTTGTTAACGGATGCACAAGGTAAAATCAAATACTCTTTCATAGAGAATTATGTACATACATACATAAAACGACCGCAGAGAATACCACAAAAGAGAATACCACTTGGCTCAGTCTCAGGGTCATAAATAAGTTCCTCATCCAGAAATGTCTGCTGTACAGAGAGATGAAAGGACACAGGACAGGGGCTGTTGTTCACCAGAGGAATTTCAATCGACCGGTAACTTCCAACTAGATTCTCCTCTAAATCCACAACAGCGTTTTCTGCCTAGGGAGGAAACAAACATGCACACACTGCTTGGTTCGGTTCACTTCAAGATCAATTCATTCATGTATGTGGAAAAGTCATCTGAATTTTCTTGAAAATTGAGACACAATTGCGGTATATACACATACAAAATCACACAAACACAATGACAGTCCTACCTCTATGAAGCCTTTGGAGCCCATTCCCACCACTTTAAGGGTGAGGTGTGACTTGTTACATCCATCAGTCTGGACCGGCCAGAAGGTGAGAGTAGGTTTGAGTGTATATGCTTTCTCCTCCAGCGGACTGAAGGACCAGGTCTGGACCTATAATAAAATTAATGAAGTCAACTGCTCAGAAACTTTTTTAATACATTACAAGTACTATCTCCATAAATGTAGTGTATTTGAGATTCTCTCAATCTCTCACTGAGCTCTCATTCGGATGTAATTCACCAGCATCTGGTTCAGCAAAGATAAGGTCCTGGTCTTGGTCCGGAATGCTCCACTGGAACCTATCATAAAGGACATCACAGAGCACCAGCTGTAGACAAGATTAATGATGCTGGGATAAGTCCAGACTACAAACCATGCACTGAAAATGTCACAAATACAGCACTAGAATAACAGCACTGGGATAACAACTCAGCCAACCAACCGTAGAGGTAGACTGCTGAGATTCCTGATGTGGTGGGAGCGTCGTGTCCGTGAACCCACAGCTGTTGGCTGGAAATATAAACTGCCGTCTCCTTCCAGAGACACACATGGCTTTTCCACCACACTCACAACTGTCAGTTCCTACAGGAGATAGACAGTAAAACCTGTAAGAAGATTGTAACTCTCAATGACAGTCTGAGTCTCAGTGTGTTTAGTACCTTTGTGTGTTTAACTGCATTGAGCTGCAGTAGTAAATTGAACCCCTGTTTCGGACTGTCTTCTGTGGGAGTTGTTCTGAGGGTGAGGATTCGGTGATGTCCAGGCTGGATCAGACCACAGTTCGGAATTACAGACAATGATTCTGCCAGGGCAGGGTTTGAGCTGTGGTCCAGACAAAAAGTGAGCGGCAGGTCTCCACCATTCTGGAGGAGCACTGTTTGATAGGAAAGAGCACTCAGGGCTGGAAACACCTATAAAGAACAACATGCTATTGTTACCAGAGTATCTCTGTCTTAATGTATTGCAGTGTTACAATGTCCTTTACACTGATTTCATAAGAAGGTTTTAGTGAGAAATGGTCAAAAACAGCTTTAATACCATCTTAATTTTTTGCTGTTTATTGTGTGAATGGCAAAAATGTAGGTAAAGGAAAGACTAAAGGAGACAAATAGATAGAAAGAGAGAGAGAGAGATACTGTAACATTTGTGTGCTTTCTTCTGCTTGCGTCTCACCACTTGAGGGGGCTTCAGAGAGCAGCACGGGATGAAGTGCTCTTTGCCAGGCTGAAAGGAGTGGCCGATGACTCTGACAGTCACACACCAAGGCGGACACAGCAGTTGCTCACCAATGTGATCCTGCAGCATCCAGAGAGGAGGGCCAGAAGGGTACGTAAGCAAAATTTGATGCATAAAATTGTTGGGATTTTAAAGCTATACTCACAACAGGGAGACAACTGAGAGCGAAAAGAACACACTGTTGACATAGTAACTCAAAAAAGTCAAGTGCCATCACTTATTGTAATGGACTTCTTACTGTAGTAAAGAATACCATTTTATAGTATGCAAAACACTCGAGTTGCGCTCCGTGCAATGTGTTTAGCTGCTTGGGGTCATAGGTCACTCTGAATGAGGTGGACTTGAGTGGAGGCAGGTCACATGATGAGGGAGAGACAGTAAATGCAGAGTCTTGGGCAACAGTCCACACCAGGCTGGAGGAGAATCACATGCAAAAGAAACCAGACTGAGCAAAAAATAAAAAACAGATAATCTAGTTCATCAAGGTTCAAGGTTCATATAGATAAAAATGTATGTTGGTAATGCCACAGTGAGAAGCCACAGTCCGAGGCAGGCTGTGGTACCTGAGTTTCCCTCTGGTGTGATTGATGATGGAGACAGACTGAGAGGAAGTAGATGAAGCAGACAAGGAGGAGGACATTTTGTGATTAAACACCAGCTCACATGGCACCACAGACACATGCGAAGAGGACGAAGAACTGGAAAAGAGAGGATCCGTGCACCCTAAGCAAATTTGGTAGAATTCCTCCATGGGAGTTCTGGGAACAACAGGAGCACTATCCAGTCTATGACCTGACAGCTAGAAAATGACAAAGAGAAAGAATCAGGGTCATAAAGACAATACTAAACCTATACTGAATATTTAGATATTTAAATAGATGACTCTGCACATCTCTCTGTGGCACTTTACCTCATCCAGGGTGGAGTGCAGCAGCTGCTGATTCAAGTGCACATTCTGATTTTGCTGCATGGCACTGGGATTGTATGGTGGGTCCTGTCTGCGGTACCAGTGAAGCTTGTACAAAACCAAGTGTTCAGGTTTCAGAATGGCTGGTTTCTGGAGTTTTGAGTGACAGGTACCAATCAGGTCAAGGAACAGAGGGTCCTACAAGGAAGATAAGGTAGAGAGGTAATTAGTCTTAATTAGTTTAGTGTCTGCACTGTGAGTGTGTATACATCTGCATATTGGCTCCTACCCTGTGCAGTATGAGACATGCCACTCTCCTGTAGTGTGCAATGGGCTGTGTCGGCCTATAGACTGCCTTCAGTGTCGTATGGCTATGTGGGCGTACTGTGCCACTTGCTGGCTGGATACTGAACACACTGTACCCATTACAGTCAAGGTCCCATTGGTAGATGGTCTCAACAGAAGAAGAATTAACCAGCTCCACTGTCTGTATGACTGCTTCTCCTTCCTCCACACAGCCAAAGTCCACCACAGAGGAGGACAAGGAAACTTTGGGACCTAGTTACAAAAAAAAATAAAAATTTATTCATATGTTTTTAATTCTGGATTCTGAGTTAAAGATTCCCTTCCTGTTTCATTTATTATTGTAAAACAATGCATTTTTCAAATGTGTATGTGTGTGCCTTTCTGTGGCTTCCTTACCTATAGAACTTCCAGTGAGTTTAAGCAGGGTTTCGTTAAGTGCTCCCCGGCATTTTAGAGACAAGTACTCAACCGAAACAGTATCCACCGTAGCAGGAGAATAGGTGACTGTAGCCCGTAGTGATCCACCAGGCACCACCTTACCCCTGGTGACATCACATCTGAACTCTGACCCAAACAAAGGAACCTCACTAGACAGCCATGACAAAGAGAAAATTGCAGTTACCTGGAGGAGAGAGTAAAAGAAAATTAGGGAAGGTCATTGAGAGTGTACACATGCATGGCTGCATCTTTGTGTACTACTCACAGGAGTGGGGTTGAAGATATCAAAGTATTTCTGCAAACTTTTGCCAACTGCCACAGAACCAAAGTGTAGTACTGGACCCCCCTGATCTTTTTCCTCTTTCTCGACTGGATTTCTCAGCTGAAGACATGGGTATTTAGCTAAAACAAGAGGCAACACAAGAGGTAAGTGAGCAAATATTGGTTTGTACTTCCCATATGGTTCATTCCGTGATACAAATTGTCAGCATATCAAAAATGAAGCTATAATTAAGACAAATGTGGGATGTGCATCTTTGCTCAAATTTGCATTGTTATACAGTCAGACCGGAGAACTGTTTGGTAATTTCAGGGGCTTGAATTATTTGCTTGAAGGTCCCATAATTTTCATTTTTTGACCATACACATTTAAGGCATGTTCACAAACATACAGGTCTTGTTCATTTTTTCAATTTTACATAATATTACTGATGCAACCAAACCGGCCATCAAGTTGAGAGCAAGCTGCAGTTGCGTTTTTTTTTCTTATTATAGTTACACTGAGAAAGTGACAGGAAAGTTGGGGGGACAGAGAGGGAATGACATGCAGCAAAGGGCCACGGGTCAGATTCGAGCCCAGGCCGCTGTGGTAAGGACCAAGCCTAAATGGGATGCGCTCAACCAGGTGAGCCACCGAGGCACCCCAGCAAATTGCAGTCTTATTCATAGATTTTGGAAATGGACAAAGCACATCCATTAACATTTGCATCACAAATTGTACACTCAACAGTAATTGTTTAGGTAACGATCATACAATCTGTATTAATGATTTACACATCTGGCTATATTGTCAAAGCTGGTAAGTTTAATTGGTAACCTTTTAAATCCATTTAACCACGTACACTATAGTTAAAATCACTGGATGAATTAAACTCATCTTGTCCTGTCTCTGCTGCTGGTTATAGTACCTAATGCCTGCAGCAGCACAGTGCAGCAGCTCTCTGCCTTGTCCCCATCTTCTCCAAACATACAGTAGGCCTGTTGTTGGTACACCATCGCCTCTTGCGGCCGGAAGACCACAGTGATGTGACACTCCTGGCTGGGCCTCAACAAGCCCTGCTCAGGGCTCAGCTGAAATGGCGCTGCACACACCCACTCGAAGCATGTCTGGAGTTTACTGTGGGAAGAAGAGTATGACGAAAGTGGGTAGGACACAGAAAAAGAGGAGTCGGAGAGAGGGATCAATCAGCAACAGTGATGTACCTTGCATTTTTCAGCCGGAAAGTAGTATGTGAGGAGTGTTGAACAGCACAGATTGGAAGCAGCACAGAATCAGGCACTTCCAGGGCAGGACAGGGAATGATGGCACGGAGTTGTACTTGGAAGCTGCCATCTTTACCTTGAAACTCAATGCTGTCCTCATACTCACACTGTCCCAAGCATTCAGACAGTCACACAAGACAGAAGACAGGAAAGAGGCATGATATTGCATATCATGTAACATCCCTGATGGTGAGACTACAAATTGTGACAATTGGCACAATTTGTCAGCAATAATTAAGGTTAGTTCTGTTTATGACATCTTCAATTTAAGAATGCAAAATATGTTTCTTCATATTTAAAAGCCCTGCAGCACATCACTTTCAGAATACATGTAAGAGTAAGCACTGTTGAGTAAGTTTTACCCTCTGTATTGGTCTAAAGGTGACTGGGATGGAGAAAGAAGTCCCTGGGCTCAGAACAATTATCTGGGGAATTAAGGTGGTGAAAAACTTGGACACTGGAAGCCTGTAAGGGGACACAGGGGGAAAATGTTAGCCTGTAGATCCGCATCAAATTTCTATTGTATACTGTAGTATTATTATTGTTATTATTATTGTTATTATTGTTTGTTTGTGTGAGGTTTATAGGTGTATTCACAGGAGTGTTTGTGTGAGTTTGATAAACCTCAAGTGGAGCTTCTGCAGCTTGTTATGAATGTTCTTTAACACTAATGTTTTGGTGAACTCTTTTCCAAGGTCCCAGTCCTCCCAAACCATCTCTGGCCTCGTTTCCAACCCTAAGAAGCAGCTTTTTTTGCTGGATGCATGTCGTTGGTGCTCCCCTCCCTGTTGCCTGTTGTGATTCCCTGGCTCCTGCCATGTGGGGTGCAGAAGATGAGTTTTAAGGACACATATAAACAACTTTAAGAATATTGAACCTTTAGCATATAATACTCTTTGTAGAGATGAAACTGCCATATACCAATAGCTATTTCAAAAAAGGGCATATGTGCCATTATGTCAGAACAACTGATGCACAAATGAACAGCTATAGTCAATTTTATTAGTGCAGTTTATTAGACACTAGCTGATGAGCAACACTGTAGCTGTTTACATACAAAATAGACCAATATTAACTGTGATCAATTTTATTACAGACTTTTATGGTCTATTCTCTCTAAAATTGTCCCTATAATAGCAGCCCACCTATTTGTTTTTCTCATAGGAAGACATAAATGGAGAGAAAGAAGGTGACAGCTTTATGATAAATAATAGATAGCTGTGACTCATGGACCATTGTTCATTCAGAGAGAGACATAAACTGATCAAATTTAACACACAGATTCAGTGAAACGTTAATAAATATCTGTTCCAAGCAGGCCATTCGATTGTTACTGATGCCATGCTATGCTATTCAATCTTTAGTTACTTTGAGATCCTTTCGAGTGGTGGGGGGCTGCCATGGTGCTCCTGAGCCCATTGGGTCTGGACCTCGAGCCTCAGCTAACATGACTGGGAAAAGAGAGAAGGCATTTACAGATCTACAAATCGTTAAATATGGAGCAAAGTTGTTTACAATAATGTTGTCATGGTTTTGTAATTTTGCACAGTTTACACACCTGTTACACTCACTCAAAACAGATGGCGTTAGTTGTAGCTGAAACTAAGACCAAGCTGAGACAGTGTTTTCACCATAGCTGTACTGGCCAACACAGAAAGCTGACAGCTAAACAGACTGCTTATGTTAAACTAATAACGGCTAATGTTTAACGCACCCTTACCTTCTTTCAAACATCAAATAATTAAGCTTGGCAACGAGGTTACTGCTATTTATTCCATGTGAGTTATGAAAACACCACGAACAACAGTCAAAAGAAGGCGTTTTAGAAGTTGGTTGTCCACAGCGCTTCCATGGAAACAAGCAATTGTTTGTGTTGCCATAGTAGGCCTAATTACTGCAGCCTAGGAGGGACATTTGTAATACGCAAGCTGGTAGTATATATGAAACTAGCAAGTAGGCCTGCTATGATGTGAGTTATTACGAACGATTAACAGGATGTACAAAAACCACAATTAAAGGCCCTCCTCCCACAACTCCAGACTCGGCCGACACCCCCCCGAAAAACAGGGAGAAAGCGACAGCCAAAAAACTGAAACTGAACTATCCCTTTAATTGTAAATTGCGCACATTGTCAATCACTTTCACAGTTTGTTTTTTTTTGACACAAAACACATTCATTTGAGCTTTATTTTTCAAACAGTCCCCTCCACAAAAGCACCAGTGTTGCACTTAAGGTGAAATATATTAAATTATATCATTTTAAATTATATTGACAACACCACACTTAATATGAGAATAGTTTACAAAATACAGGGAAATTGCCATATCAACAGTAAACTTAGAATTGCCTACTATACAGTACATGCAGCCATTTCCTTTTGGGTGTGGCTTTAACTAAATAAAACATGCAGTTTCAGAAAGATAATACAAAACAAAGAGCTGAATACTATAAAACAAAACTTCATGACCATATAGTCAAAAAACTACAATAGCCTGAGTAGCATTTTTCTTGTCACACCATTATAATGCCCCATAAATTTAACTGGGTGAATGTGAATCAAAGTCTTTTTAAAAATTGCCTATGAAAAGTTTACAATATTAGTCGAATATTTCTCCAATATTTGTAACAGACTAGGAAGCACTGATAACAATGTAACACTGACACTCCTTACATCTCCAGGTGAAATTTTCTGTCTCTTCATCCACTAACTACCATGAAAGTGCTAAAGTCCCCCCATCCCACCCACCTTCATACAGTTTCAGTTTCATGTATTAGTTAGTTTATTGCAATTTCAATTTGTTTGTATTGTTTAAAACACAAGTAATTCATGCACATCAATGCCAATTATAAACAGAATTATTTGTTGATTCTCAAGTCACAACTCAGAGAGATTGCTGGCCTTTAAATCCTTACCATCATCCCGTCCAGGTTCACAAAGATGACATTATTCTGGTTTGACGTAATTTGTTTTGATATCCAACCCAATGTGCAGATAATAACTTTTTGCTATTTTGGGAGCGCCAGACAAAGATATGGCACTGTGGATTGTGTATTGTCTTCTCAAGAGTAATAAACATAAAAAGACATAAAGCATGCCAAATTTTACAACTATGGAAAAACCCTGCTTTTTATTCTTGGGCCGCCCTCCTCTAGCTCCTCCTCTACATAGGAGCTGTAGTTCCCTGCTCCTCCTACAGCATGCCGCATGAAGCCTACAGGGCCTAATGAGCCTGCCCTCAGCACCTCTGCCTCCTCTTTTTCTTCCTCATCCTCCCCGTCAAGCTCCTCTTCATCCTCTAGGCTTGAGCTGTGTGAGTCACCCTGAGGCTTGGCACTGTGTATGTCCATCCCATTTCTTTCTGTATCAGTCAGTGAGGAAGTTAGGGCTGCTTGTTCCTTGGCTTTGCGACTTCTCTTCCACTTCATACGTCTGTTCTGGAACCAGATCTTAACCTGGTGAAAGAACACAGGAGAGAAAAAGGTTTAAAAAAACATCTTCACCCTGTCTTAAATAAGAATGGTGGTAAGCAAGCTTAAATTTACCCTGCAGGCACATATCTGAACAGAAAATAAAATAAGCAGATACAACAACAACAACCTGGAGGTCTATTTAACAGCTGTTTTACCCAAAATCACATAAAACATCTTGTGCCCATATATGTGATGAAATATTGTTTTTTTTTCAGCTGCTTTTCAAAGGAAAAAGGATGAGAAGGAAGCTAACTATGCATTGTAATGAAAAAAATCTATCATGTAGTGAATAATATAATGTTACCATGTTTGTATTACTGATTTTCCCCTTTAGTATGTATTTCAAGAGAGAAACAATAGCCTTCTTGAGGTGCCAACTGATGAAGTCTTGGCTGGAAAGAAAAGCCATGTGATGTTTTAAAAATAAAACATATATTGTGATGGATGGTTTTTCTTTTTCCTAAATTTAGCTGGTAGAACTGAGAAAAAGTTATGTTCACTTTTATTCGTAGTCCATATATCTTTTACCTATCAAAGAGTAGGTACTACAGTAACCACTGTGTGTGTAAGCGCTGTGAGAAGGGATGTCACTGTTGTAATCTTGGCAGGTGACTGCTACCTCACCTGAGTCTCAGTCAACATGAGTGAAGTGGCCACCTCAAAGCGTTTAGGCCTGGACAGGTACTTGTTGAGCTTGAACTGGTTCTCTAATTCCAGCAGCTGCTGACTGGTGAACGCTGTCCTGGGCCTCCGACACTTCCCCAGCAAACCTGCCTGGGCCTGAGCTGAGAGGGGCAAAAACAGAGAGAGAAGCAGAGACAAGGAGCAACAGAGAGATGGGTTATACTGTACGTTTGTCATTATTTACATTTTATCATATATTTCATCTATTTCTATAAGAACACAATACCCAATTTACTATAGTGGGCCTATGAGCAAAAGATGCCAACAGCAGAAGAAAGAAATAAAGAAAGCAAGAAAGAAAGAAAGAAAGAAAGAAAGAAAGAAAACATTCATTCAAGGATATTTTTCAAATCAATATTCAAATGAAAATCCCACAATCGTCCAGTTTGTTTCCAAGTTCATAGTTTAGATGACAGTGGCCTGGCTGCCTGTCTGTCTTCCTGTCTATGTATCTTGTTGTCTCTCTGTTCGTCAACATTTATTGCCCTGATGTGAGGTCTTGGTGAGAGGATATTGCTTTGGAGGGGTAATAAACCATCACAGAGCTCCATTACCTTAATGAAAACAATATAAATGTTATCAATTGATTAAGTGGTAGGTCTATATCAGGTGTTACCTTTACCGTAAATGTTGCGAGTTATTTTTATGAGATAAATTGTCCTTAAGCGACAGCATCTCAATGTCACGGTCCTTTCAAAACCAAGATAAACACGCAGGTGTCAGGAGGCCCTATAACATGGGCCTCCTGACACTGGACAAAAAAAACAACAGCCTTGACAAATAAAAATTTTAATTAAACGGAAACTAATGTATGATCGATTTGATTTTATGAATTTTAATTGATTTGGATTTCATGAATTTTAATAGATTTGATTTTTAATTCCAACATCCTACATTGTTTTAAAGATTTTTGTGTAAATTAGCCAATATAACTTAACTTTTAAATAAATTGGTTGAAAAAATTGAGAAAAATTACTTTAGAGAAAATAAAATATACGTTATATATATATATATATATATATGTGTGTGTGTGTGTGTGTGTGTGTGTGTGTGTGTGTGTGTGTGTGTGTGTTAATATTCACTATTAGCTCTTTTGAAAAACAGCCAGTGATTGTATTTCATTTTAGATTTGAAATACATGCATACATAGCTTTTATATAAACAAATCTTAAAAAGNTATATATATATATATATATGTGTGTGTGTGTGTGTGTGTGTTAATATTCACTATTAGCTCTTTTGAAAAACAGCCAGTGATTGTATTTCATTTTAGATTTGAAATACATGCATACATAGCTTTTATATAAACAAATCTTAAAAAGATTTAAGTCAGTTTAACAAGGCTGTAGCCTATACTACCCCATCCACAAAGTTTATTATTGCAAGAGTGAAAGCTTCGCACCTCCATATTCTCCAAATCTGGGTAACATCAACCCGGCTCTGATCCAGGGCTCCAGTGGCAGAGTCCCGGTCATGGTGGCCCCCTTTAGCTGCTCCGGATATGGTTGGACCAGCTGCGTAAAGCCAGGGTATATAAAGGCGGGGTGCTGGCCTCCGAGGGCCCCCAGAGGGTACATGGAGCCCGGGTACATTCCGATGAGACCCCCTTGATGCAGAGCAGTGAGTCCTGACTGGGATAGGTTGAAGAGCTGGGATTTGTGCAGGACTCCTGTCCTGGCTGGAGAGGAGTTCGCTGGGTTTGGATGAGGGGAGGGCGTCTCAGAACCTCGGTTTGACACTGGACTGTCGCCGGGGCTCCTGCTGTAATATAACCCAGGGGAAGCACCATCGCCGTCCGTCCTCTGTTCCACGTCTTGCGCCAGCAGCGCATCGATGCGAAAGTTTTTGGATTTCTCCATGGTGGCAGTCATTCTGTTCAAAGATGTCTCCAGTGAACAGCTGGTGTTAATCTACGTGATACTGACCTTCAAAAAGTTAACGTGAATTTAAGAAATGAATTCCTCTGATGTACTTTAAACTGGTCTCCAATTTCTCAACACACTGTGCAGCCTAAGCTTTTAAAGTTTGCCGAAACTGCTCAATTATCACTCCTCTTCCCCGAAGATATGTTTTCTTTCTGTAACACTCCACTTGTGCCATGCGCGTAAAAACCACTTCACACACCCCGACAGCAGGCTGAGAAATCACTCGCACTCAATATCGCTGTAAAGTCTGCTCCATTGTGATTGGCCAGAGCCCTGCAGCACAGGGGCAGGGTATACTCTTTCTCCTGAAGGGTCAGTTGTAGGCTAGGCATTCATGCACCCCCTATTAATATAATTGAAAAAAAAACAGCAAAAAATCGATGTGTTTACTTTTCATTGTGCTCATGTTACAAATATGAGGTTCAAAAACTAGGTAATAGCAACTGAAATTTTATTTCATTTCCAGCTATTTCTTTATGAACACTGTGTGTTTCTTTCTTTCTTGCTCTGTCTGTGTCTGTCTGTTACCTCTTTGTCAGTTTGAGATCAAGCTTTCTCACTCTGGTCTGCAATCACACAATGTATCTACACATTCACAAGCATGGCACACAAACACACACACACACACACACACACACACACACACACACACACACACACTTTATAACTTTATTGGGTTAATTGCTGTTGTCTCACTTCGGAGAGATGACGAAATTTGTCAGTTTACAACTAAATCTTCATTAGATTTTATGGCCTGCTAAGGTTGACAGAAACCCAACAGTTCTTATCAGTGGCTGCTGCTATGATTATCGGTCATCACCACATCATGGAGCAGATAAAGCAGCTGTAAACTGACAGAAAGAAAACTCATTTTCTCCCCTTGCAGACCACAGCCACTCACAGACAAAGCATCACCAGGTGACATAAAACCCTGTGGTTGTTTAGGCCCTATTATACAAATTGTATATGCAATCAAGATTTCTTCCAAGTCAGATATGTGCATATAGTTCATAACATTACATTTACTCATTTGGCAGATGCTTTTATCCAAAGGAACTTACAAGCGAGGAACATCACAGAAGTTTCAGTGCAGTAGGAGACCTTGGTGTAAGTACTTAGTACTACATCTTTTCAATAAGTGTAAGGTCAGTTAAAGAAATACACCGAGAGTGCATAGTAAGTGCTAGTTTGGCATGTTAGGGTATGAGAGGTGTTAGGACAGGAGGTACTTTTGGAAGAGATAAGTGGTTAAGAGGGAAAGCCCTGCTCTGACAGCACACGGTAGCTTGTTCCACCATCAGGAAACCACAGATGAACCACAGACGAACCACAGAGAACCTGACAAAACTTTTATATTTCTCATGAATAAGACTACAGGCTCACTGAGACACCATCAATGTACAATTGTGTCAGGTGGACCTCTTAAGTTTCACTTAAAGCCTACAAACTGCATTTACGTAGGCGTTTACCACAGTTTGGTGATTTCCTGCCGGTTTATACAGGACCGATAAGAGACAGTCATAGGCCTGGGAAAAAAAAACGCTCTCACTTCAAAGACAAACACACCAACACCTGCTGAACTAGCCAACATATAAACTAAACGACCTAAGGGTTCATGTGGGTGTGTGCAGGCATGTGTGTGTGAGCATCTAGGTAAATGATTATCTGAGTATCATGATATGAAGGTTTTCAGACATTAGTTTTCTTTTTAAGTCATCACAGTCCTCCAACTCATAGAACAACCAAGTATTCATTTGTTCCTGTTATGGCACTGTTGTGGTAGCATGGATGGCAGCCATAGACAAGACTTGGTGTAATGAATTTAGAAACCGAAACAAATGCTGATTAAGTGCAATTCCACATTTGAGTCTTACACACACAGATGTAAGAGGTTTTGATGTTCTTTGTTTAAAGTCATCTCACAGGAGACACAGGTTACTAATTTACAAGTTACATCATCTATCATTACAATGACTCACAATGACCCATAGGCATATACTCATGTAGACCACAGTGGACTCCAAGCCAAAGATATTTAAAAGAAAGAGGTGCAGAGAGTTGTCAGACTGCCTGCTTTACAACTCCATGTTACTCTTAATGTTGTCATGCTTTTGCTGACATATTGTTTAGATCTGTGAAACTATGAAATGTGTACAAGTTATGCATATTTGAACAATTTAGAAATAGAAGCAATGCATTGCAAACTAGATAAACTTTTTTTTTTGATTTGTTGTTTAATTGTATGTTGAAAGACACGTTTGAGCTATAAAATCCACAAATCCACAAAGTTTTACTCATAGCACATTTTTATTTGCTTTCTATTCGTCTTTTAGCAGGAAGAAGTGATTCAATTACAGATCAAAGGTTATTAAGTTCTACAAAATAATAATAGACATTCTTCCCCATTGCCCTTGTCACATGGTCATAGTAAAAAAAAAAAAAAAAATAGAGGTTGTAAACACCTGCTGTAAAATAATTAATACTGATCTGTTCTCCGTTAGATAAGGGAGAGAAATGATATATTACAGTGTTTAATAAAGTGTTGACGATGACACTGTATCCGAGCACAAATATCACATAATTTGTGATAAGGTCCTGTAGATAAAGACAAAGCGCACAGCGTCTGAAATTTCACACCACTAAGAGTTATAATGTTTGGTGATATAATGTAATTGGGATTTATGGTCAGGTTGCAAGATTAACAGCCCTTGACAAAAGAGTCTTTGTGTCCATATAACCCATACACGTAACATTTATCTATTCACCACAGATAGCAGTCATAACTTGATACTTTGTACAGTAATATACTCTGGTGCAAGGATGAGGTTGACCTATCTGTGTCTTGTCTGATTAAAACATGGAAACACTGTTGATCAATGTAATTTGAAGATGAAGACCTCCATCTTTGGCAGGTCAGGAGTCAGGGCCTGCAGTGTCAGAAAAGTATGTTTTAGATTAATACATAGGAACAAATCTCATCCACCAGGTGAAAATGAGAAACGCACAGTGCCCTACAATGGCAGAGAGCACTAACTACAGAAAAGGTGAATATAAGGGTTTTCAGGCTAGGTCTGTGTGACAAGCAGAAAGGTTGTAACGTCTTAATTTTATGCCTTTTTAGGATCATTATTGTAAAACAATAATCTATGTAAAACAAATATCTTCAAGAAAATAAACTTAATTTTTATATTTGCAGTACAGATGTTTTCACTGGTTGTCTGCCCGCCCATCATGTTCATACTGAAATCAGTATAATAAATTGATTTATATTTCACATTTTATACATTTAAAAATATGGTTTAAAGTTGGCAAAGACCAAACAGTTATATATATATATATATATATATATATATTTATATATGGTTTATATTGGTCCTCCTTTTGTCAAAATACACTATGGAGAGGCACAGATGCCTTTACACTCATGTAATTTTGGCATTGTGACAAATGAGATGTGAGTATCTTCTTATAGCCACTGCTGGGTTTAAGCCACCTTACAAACAGACACAAAAGTAAGCCTGCAAATGCTCTCACACACTCATACAGGCCTACATAGACGAGAGCAACAATGCAGACCACAGAGTCAAAATAGACAAGAGCGAGTCTGGGAGACACAGAACAACAACTCAGGCCATTGCTCCTCTCTACCCTTAGCTGTAAAAGATCCATTCATGTTGTCTCCATTCATATACAAATGTAAAAGAGGTTAAGCCAGTGGGCGATGTCTGTCAACCCACCACAGTTAGGAGGCAAAAAGGTTGACACCATTTCAGCATGGTGCACAGAAACATGTAGTGCATGGAGTACATTTTAAATAGATTTTAATTTTTAAAAAATGATTTCATTTTGCTGTTGATGCAACGTCAGCTTCAGTTCATATCAGTATTTTCTTCAGCGATGAGGGGCACTGCTTATACTAATTCCTTGGTACATATTCAGATTTTTCCGAATGAGCTTTGCTGCTCAGTTGACAGATGTAAGTGACGAAGATAACAAGGGCCAGTGAATTAGCAAAGTAAAATATGACTATGTATCCCAGGAGACATTAAGGCAAGAAGCAAATCCCCCAAAATCCCCAACAGATAGAGCATAATAAGGCCTGTTGTTCTCCCTCTGTCTGTGTCCTATTGTGGAATCTAGTCTAATATCTGCTTTTGGTTTCTATTGTTGTGTCTATTGTCATGCCTCAGTTTTGCTCTGGTTGGCCTAATGGACCGCAGGAATAGAACACTTCCTGGTTGAAGAGGGGTGGGTGTCCAGGGTTGCAAGGTTCAACGTCGTTTAAAATGAGTTGATTAATGACGGCCGTCACAACTGAGACCGGGACATAATGAGGAGGACAAGAGGGAGGAGCGGAGGAGGAGAAGAGGAGGGAGAGAAGGGGAGGTGGGAGGGGAAGAGCCGAGATTGGATGATTATTACTTAGAACAGTAAACAGTGAGATGACAGTAGAATGAGATGAGGCCTCAGGGTAGAAGTGGAGGGAGAGAGGAGAGGAGGCACATAGATAATTAGTCCTAAACAGAGGTCTGTGAATGAGAGGAGGAGACAGACACACGTAGAGCTGGTTAATACACAAAGACAGGGGCAGTGATGGGGCAGCAGAGTGGAGGCAGCACAGAGCAGTTAAACATCTGTTGCTCTGTTGGACACCCAGACGCTCTGCAGGGTCAGGATCCCAAAATACTCGTCACTCAAACATGTTCTTCCTACGACACAAAACCACCAAGGCTGTGAACCGCTAAAAAATCTTGTACAAAACTGCAGGCATTTGTTAATTTGTCCTCTACATACAGTATTTAAGAAGATTTGGGTGCATAATGAATGTCTAAGTTGCACTTTTAAGGATATATTTTTTTGTTTCCCAGCGATAAACATAAATTATTTATTGATTATTAGTTTGTTTTTGGTGGATTATTGTGCTTCAGAGATGCTGGTGTTTCAGT